CTGACATTGAAATGCTGAGGGAGATTAGAGAGGCTACCAAAATAAAGAACTCTATAATAATGGGGGATTTTAATTACCCCATATTGACTGGATACATGTCACCTCAGGAAGAGAAGCAGAGATAAAATTTCTCAATAGCTTAAATGACTGCTTCTTGGAGCAGTTGGTACAGGATCCCACAAAGGGAGAGGCATATCTCGATTTAGTTCTGAGTGGAGCGCAGGATCAGGTCCAGGACATAACCGTTACAGGACCTCTTAGGAATAGTGACCATAATATTAACAACATTTAACATTCCTGTGGTGGGAAGACCACCTCAGCAGTCCAGAACTCTGGCATTTAATTTCAAAAAGGGGAATTACACAATAATGAGGAGGTTAGTTAAACAGAAATTTAAAGGCACAGTGACTAAAGCCAAATCCCTGCAAGCTGCATGGAAACTTTTTAAAGACACCATAATAGAGGCCCAACTTAAATGTATACCCCAAATTTAAAAACATAGCAAGAGACCTAAAAAAGAGTCACCGAGGCTTAACCACCATGTAAAAGAAGCAGTGAGGGACAAAAAGACATCTTCTTAAAAAGTGGAAGTCCAATCCTAGTGAGATAAATAGAACGGAACATAAACACTGTCAAATCAAGTGTAAAAATGTAATAAGAAAAGCAAAAAAAGATTTTGAGGAACAGCTAGCCAAAAACTCTAAAAGAAATAGCAAAATGTTTTTTAAGTACATTAGAAGCAGGAAGCCTGCTAAAAAACCTGTGGGTTCCCTAGACGATTGAGATATAAAAGGAGCAATCAAGGACGATAAAGCCATTGCGGAGAAACTAAATGATTTCTTTGATTCACTCTTCACGGCTGAGTATGTTAGGGAGATTCCCAAATCTGCACCCTCCTTTGTGGGTGATGAATCTGAGAAACTGTTCTGGATTGAAGTGTCATTAGAGGAGATTTTGGAACAAATAGAAAAACTTAATGTCAACAAATCTCTGGGACTGGATGGCATTCATCCAAGGGTTCTAAAAGAACTCAAATGGGAAACTGCTGAATTATTATCTGTGGTTTGTAACTATCCTTTAAATCTGCTTCTGTACCTAATGACGAAGGTAGCTAACGTAACACTAATATTTAAAAAGGGGTCTACGGGCGATCCTGGCAATTACAGACTGGTAAGTCTAACTTCAGTACTGGGCAAATTACTCAAAACAATACAGGCAGTCCCTGGGTAACGTACAAGATAGGGACTGTAGGTTTGTTCTTAAGTTGAATCTGTATGTAAGTCGGAACTAGCGTCCAGATTCAGCCACTGCTGAAACTGATCAGTTTCAACAGCGGCTGAATCTGGATGTCAGTTCCGACTTACATACAGATTCAACTTAAGAACCCCAGGCATCCCTAAGTCAGCTGCTGCTGAAACTTATCAGCAGCTGATTCCAGGAAGCCCAGGGCAGAGCAACTCTGCCTCCGGCTTCCTGTAGGCAGCCACCGGTCAGGTTCAGC